TATATATATATATATATATATATATATATATATATATATGTATGTATATAAGATGCATAGAATGGTATATATATACATACATATATGTGTTAGAAACTCCCACGCAAAGCGTGCACGAACAACCAAACGATGGATACGCGCAACTGCACGTACTACCTCTGCAAACCAGCCTCGTGCGTGGATAGGAAGTGGTTAGTTGAAAAGAGGAGAGGAGAGGAGAGGAAAAGAGAGGAGAGGAGAGAAGAGAAAACGTGTACACACGCGGCTTACGCGCGTACGCCATTGTTCCGACGCTCTGTAATTTACTAACTACGCGTCCATTATGCGTCGGCACTCTCTGTTTGTCTCGACACCTTTACATCTCCCTTTCTTCCCCCCTCCCCTCGTATCTTTCCCTTCATTTTTGTCTAGCTTTTATTTTATTTTTTATCTTCCTCTCCTTTGTTTTATACATTTGTTTCTCTCTCTCTTTTTTTTTGTTTTATATTAATTTGGTTGAATTAATTCCGTTTATTAAATCTTTTTTCTTTTTGAGATATATGAACGCATATGTGCGTTCAATGATAACGATTCGTTATCGACTTAAGAATGCATATACGCGTTTATCAATTTTTTTGTTGTCAACCTTCTTCCTTATTGGTTTTAAATTATTCTTTTTCATTTTCTTTTTTATTTTATTTTTTTTAGTTTAGTTAATGTTAACAAATCACAAATTGATTTAACTCAACGATTGAAAATTGTTAGCTGCGACTTGTAATCAAAAGGGTTAAAGTTAGTAATTGTACTTTCTTCTTTTTTTTTTATTTCAATACGATTGAAAATTTGTCATCGGTGTATGAGAAAGTACCGTTAATAATTTGATAAGTGTTGGGTTGGCAAGAAAGTAATTTCGGTTTTCTAGTGTGAAATAAAACTCTATTGTTTCAATACAAAAAATAACTAAATGTTATTAACTTTCTATACAAAAAATGAACTTTAAATTAAATAACTAAAAAATTGTAACATTAACAAACAATAACGAAACAAACATAACACTATCTATTGGTGCAAGCCGAAATTACTTTCTTGCCAACCCAATAATAAAAGTAATCAGCGTGCGATACTAAATCGTAGTATTTGAATATAAATTCCAATTATCTATGAATTTTTTCTTTTCTATTTTAGTATAGTTTAAATTTTCAACTCGATCTCTCCGAAAAAAAAAGAAATAGAACACAATCTTTTCCCTTCCTCTGCCCCCTACTCCTTTCTTTCTCATACATATTTAGTCTCTCTCTTTTAATCTTTTTCACTTTTTCTTTTTCCTGTTTTCATTATCGGCATCCTCCCTCCCATCTTCTACCTTTTTTCCCTTCCTTCCTTCCTTCCTTCGTGAGAGAAGATCGTAGGTCGAAAATTACAAATGTTGTTAGTTTTTCTATGCTTTTTTTTTTTCTTTTTTCTTTTTTCTTTAATACAAGAAAAGTTCGTTACAATGTAATCACGTTTTTTTACTACTATATGCACATCCCCCGTATACTTATAACATGTCGACGCGTACACGTACGTACACGGTGCAATATGTGTACGCTTCTTTTTTTTTTTTTATTTTTAAGGAAAAAAAGAAGGAAAAAAAAAACTCATTAGAGGGAAAAGAAAATACGAAAAGCAGGAAAGAGAAAATACGAATAAGGGGAAGTGGTAATGTGTATGATCGTCGTATTTTGTGCTTTCGAAAAAATCGTGTCGAACTCAACACACACACACTCTCACTCGTTTCGTCTCTTTTAAGTTCTACCGACAAAGTAAAAAGCAAGAGAGAAATAAAAAGAAAAAGAGGAATAAGGGAAAAAGGAAGAGAGAGAGAGAGAGAGAGAGAGAGAGAGAGAGAGAGAGAGAAAGAAAGAAAGAAAGAAAGAAAAAAAAAGAAAGAAAGATGTTATTTTCTCTATAGTAGAAAAGAAAGAAAGAAAGAAAGAATGTAAAAAAACAAAAAGAAAAAGGGGTGTAGAATATTCATTACCTAATGTGATGCTCGCGTACACGCACGACTCGTTGCTTTTCGCGAGATTCACTCATTTATAGGTTACTTCGTACATTTTCTATCTTTCTTTCTTATCCTTTCTTCCCTTTTTTCCTCCTTTTTCTCCACTTTTTATTTCTCTTTAAGAAATTCGTGCAAAACAGAGTGAGATTGAGAGAAAGAGAAAAAAATAGARAGAAAGAAAGAATGAAGGGACGCACGTGTCTCGCACGTACTCATCAAAATGCACTCACGCAGGCACGTATTATATTCCAAGCGGCCATTCGTTTTTGGCATTCTTATCTTCCTCATCCCTATTGGTTGGTTGGTTGGTTGTTTGTTTGTTTAGTTGTTTGGTGGCTAAGTTTCTCATCGTTGGATTAATGAAAGCGAAATATGAAGATAAGGGCCGCCAGATTTTTGTGATAAAGAAAATGAAGAAGTTTGCTTACTAGGCAGGCGTTCGTGCAAAAAAGGGCTTATATTAAAAACACGTGGATTACTATGCCATGTAATTTCTAGCTCCAACTTTTTCTTTTTCTTTTTCACTTTCTTACTTGCTTTGTTTTCTCCACCCTTTCCTTATTTCTCCAATTTTTAATGGAAAGGTTTTGAGGGTAAGACAATGATAACAATTTCGAGATTTATACCTTTGTATGTTTTATGTTCTTTTTTTATAAATTATGTTTCTGAAGTGTTTTAAAGATATGTAAAATAAATTGAGTATTGTTTTATTTTTTCAATTTGAAGCATTTTAAATTATGTTGAATGGAGTTAAGTCCCTTCGAAATTTTATAACAAATCAAATTGTTGATTTTGACAATGGCCTAACTCCATTCGTGGTTAGAAAAAACATATTATTCATTAAATAATTGCGACCATTTTAATAGGAAATATAATTTTAAAGCCCTTAAATATATTTAAGCAGTATAACTCATTAGTATCTTGTACGTATATTTTTCATTGCATTGAAACGCAAACCCTTCAATATCTCGATTTGAACATAAATGGAGGTAGGCCACTTTCAAAATAAGCGGTTCATATATATATATATATATATATATAGTATTTTAAATTATTACTCTTCTTAATGATAACAAAACGTAGGAAAAAAATGAGATTCTTGTCAGTTGTTGCAGTATTACAACCATTTATAAGCTATTCAAGAACCAGTAAGTTCATTTGTAAGCTTACTAAGTACCCAAGTTAGCATTCCGTAACCTCTTGAAATGCATATAATAATAAAATGACAATCATTGTTATTTTTAATAAAAATAATAACTTAATAAAATAATAGGAGTAGGGAAAGGGCGGAGTTATATTTTCTAAAAGCAAACCGTACTTTATTCAGTCGTATTTATTAAAATGCATTAACTTTTATTTAAAGAAATATATTCTTTTGGAGGTAGAAAATAATGCATTTGAAAGAAAATATGCTAAAGATTTCGTTTAATTTTGTTATCAAATAATGCTTCGTTATACATTATATTACTATTATTATTATTATTATTATTATTATTATTATTATTATTATTATTATTATTGTTATTATTATTTTTATTGTAAGTCTACTCACAAAGAAGGATCTCTTGTTTGTATTTTTAGAAAAATACATACACACGATAAAATCAAAAATATATATATTAATTATTTTAAATACGATTAAAGGATATTATTTGTAGATAGTTGTATGTATTCTCAGAATTAAAAATAAAAAATAAAATAAAAAGATACGTAACCCGTATAAATAATAATTTTCAGAAGAGAGTCTGGGGTAAAAATAATACTTACATATACTTATATACGAATAAAAATATGTTTAAAAAAAAAAAATCAAACGATCCACACGCATATCAATCACAAATAAATCCCAACATCTAAAAGGATCAAATTGGACACAAATCAGGCACACAGTGATTCTCGTAAATCCGTGGATTGTCAAAAGCGTCATTATCGAAGATTCGTACATACACGCACACATATATGTATGTGTAGCTTTTGATAGAAGTTGAAAAAGGATGATGGAAAAGAAAAAGGGGTGGTTAAGGTTGATGGTAGGGGGATGGGAGGGAGGTTAGGAATGACGTGAAAGAGAATCGAGGTGGAAGAAGAACATTTCAACGATGGTTCTTGGTCGCTCGTCCGTGTCCTACCACGATCGGGTTTTCCTGGCACGAAGTAGATGGCGGAAGCAAAGTCGAGTCCCACTTTTAAGGTTGAAACGAGAGAGAGTTTACGAGGAGACCTCAGGAGGTCGGCTCGCTCGCTTTAACCTACCCTTATCTACACTGTAAACCCATATCGAGCAGAATGAAAAGTACCAAGGCAGAGGAACTCTTCCACGACGATTTATACACACACACACACACATATATATATATATATATATATATATATATACATAGGTGCGTGCATATATGTATATATGTATATATGTATATATATACTACATGTACACTATCTTCTACCCTCGTTCTTCTTATCTGCGATTTGGTGATTCGGTCTTTCACTCTTTCTCCTTTTTTATCCCTTCCCCCCGTTTCCCCTTACTTCCCCACTACTCTGTTAGTCCTCCACCATCACTCCTACTATCTTTTACCAAATTTATTTTCGTTAAAAGAATTCGTTTTGCACATTTTTTTCATTACTTTACTTTACTTTATTTTGCTTTACTTTACTTTACTTTACTTTACTTTATTTTACTTTATTTTACTTTACTTTACTTTACTTTACTTTACTTTACTTTACTTTAGTTTTTGCGTCTTTTAAATAGATATCCTTTCTTAGGTCGGAATATTTTTCCACGAAGAATATTTTTGTTCTCTCGACTCGAATGAGAGATGATAAAAAAAGGAAAAAGTAGAACAGAAGTATTAGGTTGGCAGTTAAGTTTTCTCGCTACTTTTTTTTTCTTTCCTTTTTTTTTCAATTTTAGCATTACGCGTGTCATTAAATGTTTTTGGCAAATAATTTTTAATTCACTCTAGCATATATCCAATTGATATTATCTAATATATTAAAGTGAATCGAAAGTTCGTGCATTAATTGTTTTATAAATTGTATTATAATATGCATGATGGATTATTTTTTGATTTATTTTTTTTCAATTGATATATGATATTGATACAGTTATACATATATGTATATTCGTTAGACATCGTAAATAAGATTATATATGGTTGTAAAAGTATATGGAAACTAAACTAACTTAAGAGGGTTTGTTAACTTTTGTCAGAGCCTGGAGGAACGTGAACGGAAACATATGGTGTACAAGGAACAACTTTCGCGCGAGCAAAGGTTCCTCAGGCGACGACTCGAGCAGCTGACGAGTCAAACGGGGTTGCACGGGCTTCATCAGGGTCTCCATCAAGGTCTACATCACGAACTCATCGAACGAAACGGTTTGAGTTCATCATCATCGTCGTCGTCGTCATCACCGTTGAGCTCATCTGCACCAAACGGATCCTCTTCCGCTGCGGCCGCGGCTGCAGCTGCTGCACATCTATCGAAACGTCGCAGTATTTCCGAGTGTTCACTTGGAACAGCCTTTTCCACCAGTTCGGCCGATAGTTCAAGGAATTCCGACAGGTTTGCTGGCAGTCCATCCGTCTCAGAGTCCGGTAAGTACTTGACCAGCCCTACAATTTCTACTAAACTTTTGACCCACAATTTTTCTTTCAACATTTTTTTTTATCTTTGCGTTGTAATTTTTTTTTACACATGTATGTATTCGTCAGTCTTAAGAGTATTTTTTAATTAGTCAAATGTGTATATATTGAGTTTGTATATATACAATAATTCTATTTCAAAGAGAGAAAGGGAATTTTAAATTAAATCTTATGATCTCTCATCTATTAGGATTTTTTTTATCTTGACACTGCATACGCAATTTATTTGTACGATTTTTACTTTCATTTTTTAACGATATTTATTTTGGAAAAATATTGTCATAAGAATGAGACAAATGTAATTTTTCAATTTTATTCGTATCTTTCAAAAATGTTATTATTAAATTAAAAAGACGTTTCATATATTTGTTGAAAGATAATAGATTACATTTTAATGGAATCGAATGAAGGAATTATTTTGACGTAATGTTATTAGACGAATATGAGTTCATGAGGGTGGATACAAGAAGAAAAATAAGATGGATGTATCATATTTTTACTTGTTTAAATTAATTTTTCAATATTATTTGTATCTTTCAAAAATGTTATCAAAATATAAAAACAGGAGGTTAAATATATTTGTCAAAAGAATTATCTCTACAGATAATTATCTATATATATAATAGATAACATTTTAATGAAATCGAATGAACGAATTATTTTGACCAAGTGTTATTAGACGAATATGAAGTCATGAGGGTGGATAGAAGAAGAAAAAGTAGTAGGAGAAGTAGTAGAAGAAGAAGAACAGTGTATCGTGTTTGTCGATCTCGAAATTTTGCGGCGGTCATGCAAAACGTGTGTAGCTTCGTTGCCCTTTCCTACCTACCTACCTACCTACCTACCTACCTACCTACCTACCTACCTACCTACCTTCCTTCCTACTTTTGCTTGCTTGCCTGTTTGCTTCGTTTTCGGCGCTTCGTTGCTCACTTTGATCGTCGTACCGGGCGCGAACGAGAGTTACACGTCCTTCATACATTTATGCCATATATATATCCATGTATATAGTTCCATATACACTAGAATGGTGTTTTAAGTGTCGGCGAGTTCTAAAAGGAGACTACTTCTCGAGCATACGACACACACGACCGGATTAGCTGACGCACAGCAAGCAAGCATCCCTTCGCTTTGTCACACCGTTCCCGAAAGCAGACTGAAAATATACTCTCTTTAAGAAGGAGGACGGGATTTTAATACGTGTGTGTCTACTTTGCTGTTCTCAATGACTGACTATGACGATGAAAAAAAAGAGAGAGAGAGAGAGAGAGATAGAGAGAAATAGGGCGTACTTTTAAGAGGGACAAAATTAAAAAAGTGGCCCTTTTTTGGATTCTCTACTTAAAATTGAGACTAATTGACACGTCAACTTTTATTCCGGGTTTACTTTTTTTTTTTTTAATTATTTTTTGTTAGAATTTTTTTGTTTGTTTAGTTGTTGCTATTGCGTGTAGTACCTACACTTCTGTAAATTTATATTTCTTTTTCTTTTTTTTTTTTTGGTCTAGTCGAATCAATACGATCACATCACACAACAGCTGTATTATTATTTTGTGTTTGTTTGTTTATTTATCATACATTTTGGTTAGTTGTATTTTTTTTATTTTGTTTGGATTTATTTGAAAAGGATAATTTATTTTTTTTATTTTTACCTTGTTTATGTGATACGAATAATCGATACAAAAGTTAAAAGAACGTGTTTTGCTAGAATCCATGATATCGGAGTATTCCACCTGGAATTACCTGTCGTATGAAACATTTTGCGGAAATGCATTCCTCCTCCCAAAAACAAAAAAACAACTTAATTAGGTCACTTTTAAAATAACCAATTTAATAATTAATCGAGTAATCACGATTAAATATCCATTTAGAATGGTTATTGGTACAATCTTTCAAAAATAATCTTTAGAATTCGATTATAAAAAAAAAAAAAGAAATGTCAAAGTCTTCGAAAAAATGCACTTGCTGTCGAGTGAAATATCATCGAGGAATGTTCGAAAAAATATTAAGAAAGAGAAAGATAAAGATAAAGAATGAAAGAGAAAGAGAGAGAGAGAGATGAAGGAGAAAAAGAGTTTGTTGAATTCGTAGACGAAACGAGGGGGAAAGGAGGATGAACGTTAAAATTGATGATCCTCTCGGTTGGAATATCTCGGGCAGTGGCAAAGCACTTATCATAAGTCACGAGTGTGGCACGACGACGATTTTTCGAATTCTTTCGAGAAAAATTTCACGTACTCTTAATAGTAATAGTAGTAGTAATAGTAATAGTAATAATAATAGTAATAATAATAGTAATAGTAGACCGTTTTCCTGCACTTTTTTCACATAAGAACTCTCTTTTCCTTTTTCATATATCTTTCTTACCACCTGGAAAATACAAAAAGAAAAGAAAAATATCATAAAGGATAAGAAAAAAACTAAGAATAGTTACGAAAAGATGAAAAAGGTGGGGGTAGTAAGGCGCTTTTTCTATTCCTTTGTTTATCAGCTTTTTTATCTTCCCATTCTCATATTTATCTATCTATCTATCTATCTATTTATCTATATACTTACGTATGTATTTGAGTATATACAAAGGAAAGAAGAAAATTATTGCCACTGGCTTTCTCGATGCCACTTCTTGCACTGTTTATCATTTTACGCGTTTTCTTTCGTAAAAGCGGAAGGATCCAAGTTCCTCTAGGGTATTTCGAAGTAAACTTCGAGTTTAGTGGCGAGAGAGGACGGGCAGGGAGTTGGTTTTGTGGTGAAGTACGATAAGAAGAAAAACCAAATGCACCTACGTTACCCCGATTATTATATCTTCGTCTGTTCGTTGTTGTTGTTTTGTGTTCGCACGATCAAAGGAATAAACTACGTGTCCTGGTGATTATTAATGTTTGGGGTAAAAAGAACGGGAGAGAAGGGGTGAATGGGGAAAGGATGAATGGATGGATGGGGGCAGAGAATATTTGTTGAGCAAACAAGTTCTTATTACGTTACAAGTTACATCCTCGTTGGTTTTATATATATGTATTATATATGTATACGTACTCTTTGAACGTCATTTTATATCAGATTATTTTCATCTAAATTTTAATTGATATGGATTATCAACGATATTTGTTATTGTAATCTACGAATGATATTAATTAAAATTATTAATTTAATTAAGCGAGAATTTTATTTTTTAATAATCTCGATATTACGTTTTTTCTTTCGTTTTTCATTAAATCAAAAATAAATTAAATTTATTATCATACACGTAAAATCGATGACAACGGGCTGAACATGATAAGTTAAAGCCAAAAATATATTTAACAAAAATTGAATTTCTATTTAAATTACTTTTTGTGTTTTTGTTTTTTTATTATAAAGAAATAAATCATATAATTTGTATAATTATTTGACTTAGGTCACCGATACGCTTATAGATTTAAAGATAAATTGATTTATGATTTGGAAATAAAATATGGTTGTTGATTAGCGATATTGATGAATCTAAAAATTATTTAACACACTATACGTATTATATTATTAATATAATATAATATAATATGTAAATATATATATAAATATATATATAAATATATATATAT